TTCTAATAGAGTCAGTGATTTGAACAATACACTATTTTTTATTTAATGTGAAAGACAAAAAGAAAAGCTTGAGCAGTCAATGAATTCCACTGTGATTCTTAGCAATGGTAATTTAAAGTATCACTTGTCCTTTAATGGAGATTAAAATCAACCCAATTTCCAAATTCCCCAAGAAGTTAATGTTCTTGGATTTGCACATAGAAACACAATGATTGCTTCTGGAACTGGCAGCAGCTGGTGGGACCACCTGGGACAGTTTCTGGTCAGTGATGTGTCTTTCACAGACTGGACTCAAAGCCCACTGTGCTGGCTAAACAGCACCTCACAGTAGTTATCCCATCTCTTCCCTTTGGGTGAAAAGGCATCTGCAGTGTTTAGCCAGTCCTGTGGCAGTCTATGACAGTGGTTACCCTTGCTTCCAGGACTGGTTCTCAGTTCAGATAATAATGAAGTAGAGTGCTCAGAAACCCACATAGCAAGGACTTACAGAATGAAGCCCACACGACTTCACCTGGAATCTCAGGCCATTCTAACTTCAATCTTCCATCTCTGATATCAGTCCTCGAACACATTTTAACCCACAGTGCTGAGTGTGCAATAAATAGACTCTTCTATATATGTGGGGAACATGGAATTCTCTTTCCCCAGAATTATGTCAAATTGCCAGAGGCTTCAGAGCACTAGGGCATGAGGATGGGGGGCCTCCAGTGTGGGTCATCATCTGAGCATGCTGGATGGCATAGACTGGCTTTCAGGCTACTCATCAATCATCACCTTCTGTATCTCCCTTCTGCACCCTCCTTGTCCCGGCAACAACTCTGGCTGCCAGCAGTCTGGGTCATGTTGATGCCATTCTGCATCCCATGGGAACCAGTCTGCTGCTGTCTGTTCCCTAGTGTATGTGTGCATCACACAGACAGACAGACAGACAGACAGACACACACACACACACACACACACACACACACACACACACACACACACACACACTGCTGAGTCTGTATTGGGCCACCTGCCTAGACAAGTCCTGGCTGTGTGCAATGTTATGACAGCAGTCACAGCTCTGTCCAGGACCAGCCACGGCTACGCCTCTGACCACCCATCCAGGCATTTCTGTAACTTCTGCTGCCCAGCCTGCAGAGTGGTCTGGAAAGGAAGCAACTTATTCCTCTATACCATCTCAGGAACAGAATGCAGTCATTGCTTTGGCCCTTGAGAACTGAGGAGAGGAAGGAAAGTTGTCTACTGGTATTCTCCCAAAGACTGAAGTAGAGGAATGTGAGTGATTTCCAACACTCCCACAGTAAGGAGCATGGCAACAAGCAAAAACAGTGGGGAAGAAATCGAGTCTTGTTGACAAGGTCTATTCTAAAGGTCAATGAAATCCCATTATAGTTCAGGAGTTTCCTGAAATTTAAATTATGGTAGGTAGGAATGGAATGATTCAGTCTAAAGAATAAACCCCTATTCAGAATTTCTAGGCATCTCTGAACTTGAGATTCAAGCTTTTTCCAATGGCACATATCCCAAGAAATTAACTTTACAGATCAAATTGATGAGGGGTTATATTAATATGCTTACGAGGTTAAGTTTTACTAGCCAAGAAATATGAATAAGAAGTCATTAATGAGAATGACTTATTTATTTAATATTTGCAATGAATGCTGGCTATCTGTAAGCAGTCACATCTACTGTATTCAGACAACCCATTTCTTTAATGTGGATTACAGTCACAGTCCGTTCCCTAGGAATTCCATCCGCCTAGGTCTTATCTCTGAACTGAGGAGAGTGTGTTCTACATGTGAACAGTGCCCACCCCTGCAGCACACTGGGAGATGAGGGAGGCTGGACTGCAGCCAGAACACATGCTCTTGTTTATCCAACACACAGGGCTGTACTTCATGGGCTTGTTCCCAGAGTGCTTTGCGTATCAGCGTTCCCTAACTTGCCTGTTACACTGTTATGTTTGTAGGGAAAATTTAATCCATTCCATCACACAGAACTACAAGTTAGCATCTTGGAGATCTGGGGCCACAGGCTGCTCTCAGGCAGAACCAGAAGCAAGCGGTCCTTTGTTATAGAGTCGGGGAGGCATAGGTCCTGTGTTTTTTTGTATTTTCTCCTGATTTTTGTTTCATTTCAGAGGAACACCTTAGGGACAGAAAAATAAAACATTAAATGAACTGTGCTGGTATCCACAACAGAATTCAATATGGGCTTGTTTGCACTAATGTTAACATAGGTAAGGATTGCATGAACCCACCTAGGGGAATAAATAGGAGCGGGTCTCATGTAGGGAGAGCCTGGTGTAGAGATAGCTCCGAGTGAGTTAGGTGTGAGGAAGCCATTCACTTATTCTTAAGATTGTAAAACAGAATTTTATTTTGTCTTAACTCCTTAGCTTTTTATTTCATCATAATTGCTAGTAATATCACCTACTACTCACAGTGTGTGGAGTATTGAAGGTTCCACAATACATGTATTCATCCATTCCTGATCACACTATCACGTAATTGCTCCTCACTCAATGGTGGAGGAAGTGAGCTAAGCAATGTTAGTTACCTCAGCTGATGGTTAAGGGGGGAACCTGAGGAGAGACCTGGGTTCCAAGCCACAGAGCTATGTAGGGTCTCTCCTGACAGACCAAAGGCTGTATTTTTTTTTCTTTTTTT